AGTAACTGATTTCTTCGGATCCTTACATTAATCGGCTGCCTGCACCCAGTACTCTGCATCCTCACCTGGTTCAGAAGCTGAGGAGAAGGGTGTGCAGACACAATAGCCTCAGCCATCTCGAGGCTGACCCGGTTAAATTGTTGTATCTGCCTCTTCCAAACTTCAGAGAGGCCCTTTCCAGACTGATCCACCTTCACCCCTCCGCACCACCCCTTCTCTAAGTAGAAAGAGAACCCCGTCTTCTCTCGCTCTCGCCTAGGGAGAACAAAGAATGGGAAAGTAAATGAGACAATGAAGCTACGAAGAAAATCCTATCTCTGCATCTGTTGTCACATAGCCGGAGAGCCATTTCTCACTCCCTCCAAACACCATTGGAATTAAAGTAAATGCTAAAAATTTGACCCTATTTTCTTTACATGCATTAACAATTTCCACGTTTCAGACCCAGATTTCCTACTGAAAAAGAAACAATCCTGTATTTGGGAACAATCCTGACACAAGCCAACACGCATACGAAGTGGTAAACAAGAATTCACTTTCTGACTGCCAACCATAATAAAACACTTTTACATGTAATTTTTAATGACATGTCATCTCTTCTCATGGCTGAGATGTAAAACACAGCAGCTGCTGCGATAGGAACGCTAGCATTGTGTGAGACTGCACAAGATGGCTTGCTTAGCTATCGCTGCGTAACATACTGCTGCCCTTCCTTATCAATGGAAACAGCTAAATGGTTCATTCTCAGTAACGTCTCTCTTGGTTACACACTGAAGAAGAATAGCTGGTGCTGCAAGAGCCCAACCCTACTTCAATTCCCTTCCTGCTCCTAGAATCAGACCGAGAACAAGAGCTTTGCTTGATGTCAAGACTCCACCGTGAAAGCAGGGTCAGTCCTCACCCCTCCCCAGGCAGGACATCAGCTTCAAGAACTTAGGCTGTGTTGAAGGAGCTGCATTAGCAGCTGGTCCTTTGAAGATCACTACACTGTGTTGTACTGAAGTACCTCCTGTTCCCTCCCAGTAACTGTGAAAGTGCAGCCTCTCCAAAGACATGACCAAACCTCATCTGCTTACTCACTTGAACGGTGCTTCAGCTACAGCTTTTGTGAACATGGTGGCAAACTCTCCAAGCTCGTCCCAGCTCTCAAAAAAGCTGACTTGAACTTGTTTGCACAGCTGCAGATCCACCAAGGCCTGTAAACATGATTGGAAACAACACATGGAACAATTTATCCTCTCACATCAAACCCCACTCTTCTTTGAAACAAAAAAAGGTCACAACATCTTGCTATAGGACAAGAGCATCCACTCTCTCCCCATTTTGGGAACAGTTAAGGTACTGAAGTATTTGGGGCAGCCTCTGTCCTGCTGGTTAATACATATTTAGTGGCATTTCAGCCGCCGCAGCTCCTCAGCACAGGCTCTGGTTACAGACAGGCCCCCCCGCCCAGGGCAGCACTGATGTGCTTTGCCAGCAGGCCACGAAAGGCGAGAGACGTGACCGAGGCTGACACTGCGCTGCCCAGGACCGAGGTGAACGAGACACATCAGTCCGTGGGAGAGCAGATAAGTACCTGAGCGGTGGGGAACTGAACCCAAAGAGGTTTGCCCAGACACACAGACTAATGAAGGCTGAATCCCCCCCATCCAAGAAAGTGTGTGATTGGGTCAAAGGTTCAAACGATGGCAGACAACAAGAGATGATGGCTGCATGCCTGTTATAAGGGTACTCACTTCCTCCACATCCATTCTGGTTATCTCCAGGCCAAAATCCTTAACTTTCTTTTTTCTCCGTTTTCCCTGTACCTCTTCTTCGTCTCTACTTGCCTGTCGCAGTCTCCTTGTTGACTGAACCCCGAGAGACCTAAGGAGAGTAAAGTAAGCCTGGGAGCACATGCTTTTCCCCAGGTATTTGCTATTGGTCACTGTGGTGACAGGCCAGGTGGACCTTTGCTTCTGTTTCCATATAACAAATAGTGGAGCAGTTCTGGCTGGCAATACCTCGTACACTCCAGTCTCTGCTAGAAGGGATTAATGTAAACACCTATGGTTTTTTTTCAAGGCCAGAGACAACAGAGAAACATATGGAGTGAAAAAAAGTTTTACCTGAAATAACTTTCTACTTCAACTACTGCCAGTGCCAGAATTTTCCCAGGCATTTTCTCCATCACATGAGCTACGTAGCTCTGTAGGGTCTCCTTCTGTCCTTCTGTACAGCCTTGGACTTCCTGCAAAGATCAATGGAAAAAAGAGGTTAGACCATTCTGAGGTACACATGCGAGCCTGGCAACCTATGGCTTCAATTCTGCAGATGAAAAAGTCTGTACACATAGCTCTTCAGGGGCAAACAGGCAATACTTGATCCGGTATAAAGTTATGGCAGAAAGAAATAAAAAATAAAAATAATAATAAAAAAAAAATCGCACTCGATCTGACAATGTTACTTCTTAAAAAAAAATCTGTGAAAAACTGTAACTAGGACAGAAAGCTTGTCAGAACTTTGCATTATACAACCCTAGTGTTTTTGATCCATTAATGGCTTCTAAAACCAGATTTTTGGTTTACTGGAACCATGGCTCCATCCCACATCAAAACCTTCCTGCTGCGAAGAGATATGACAAACACCACCCTTACAGCAAGGCATGTTCGAGAACACAAGCACTCACTTGTTTGTAGTTGTGAACCATGGACAGAAACTCCTCCAAGCGAAGCAGAACCAGGACATTTGGTTCTTCTGTCCATTCATCTCCTTCTCCCATCTGTTCAGATATGAAAACAAACAGCCAGACCAACAGTCTGTCTATAATTTGCTCAAACCGGTGCTCCCACTCAGACCTCTGAGGGAGGGAGATTAGAGAGCGTTTACTTGGGTTGCTAAATACAATTACTAATGAATGCAAACAACAGAGGAAGAAAAGGGCGAGATCATCGAGATTTTGCTCGCACACCTGAGATGACACAGTCTTTCTCCTCCAGGTAATGCTGCAGGGAACAGCCTGATTCTCAACCACACAGGAATAATTCACAGCCTGCAAAGCACTAAGGATCTGTCCACCACCTTCTACCTGTAACAGAACTGAAATTGGCGCATGGGTCAGGCCTCCACAGAGAGGAGACAACAGTCAGTATAAGGCAGACGCAGGTCGTGAGGACAAGTACCTGGATCTAAAACCACTGTTATGTATTTCTGGCACTCCCCTGGCCGCTGAGCTTTCAGCATCTTGGCAAGGGCCCTCTTCTTCTCTTTTTCCTGCTCCTTCTGCCTCCTTCGTGCTTCTCGCTCCTTCCTCCTCTGCCACGCAGCCTTGCAGATTGCCTCCCTTTCCTTCTGACTATATTTTGGCTTCTTGGGACGGGGGGATGTTTCTGGGCTTGCAGTGCTTACCAGGGACCTATCAAACTGGTCTGCGGAGTCAGACTGAGAGGCTGGCAGCGGGCACAAGGAGGGCCTCTCAGCACCACATGTGCCATTTTGGCTACCACAAGACACTTCTCCAGACGACACCAGGGCTCCCTGCGGCTCTCTGCAGCCAGGTGCCAACAGGTCACCGCTAGCACTAAGGCCAGCTGCCCCTGCTGCATCCCCACCGCCCGGCTTGGGGGCCTCAAAAGCCGCATCTCTCTTTGCTTCCACCCTCCTCTTGATCCTCTCAGACAGAGGGACGACCTCCACTACCTCGTCCTCCTCTTCACTCCCACTGCTCACCACCACAACCACCCCGGCCTTCCTCCCTTTTTGGGCCCCCCGGTGGGCCACCCTGCCGGGCGATAGCGAGGGCTGCAGCAGAGAGGCTAAGGTAGGCAGCTCCTCCTCCTCCTCATCATCATCATCATCATCGCTCTCCTCAGGCATCGGTTCGTTCTCCGCCATTCCCGCTTCTCCCCTGAGGGAAAAGAGCGACCGGCGCCCGCTGAGGGAGAAGCTCGCCCGAGTGGCGGTTGGTCCGAACGCACGCGCGGCTGGCG